TTTCTCTCTCTCACTTCTCACTCTTTATTTATTTCTTAAAGGAGTAGGATATGAACCTCTGCCCAACCAAAGATTTGTAGTGAGGTTTTCTCTGAAGACTTTGGAGCACAATTGTGAGAAAAGGCGCAGAACTTTTATAGCTCCTGTATCTTTGCCTCAAAGTAAAATATAGCTAACTTACCAAATTGGCAGTCTTCTATAGAGCTAAACCTGACACACTTATGAAAACTAAACCATATATTTTTGTCATTTTGACAAGTCCTTGGTTCATATGTTTATATTTGTTTTATTTAGTTTTCCATTGTGGCAGTAAGGCAAATTAGCTCATACAAAGCTGTTTGTTAAGCCAGCAAAAACAAATTACAAGATTCCAATTTTACAGGAATACAGGCCTACAACATTTTTTTTCTTTTTCTTTTGAAGTCATTCAAACACATGGTCATGGTCATGATCTTTAACTTGAGGTTAACATGAAGACAGGGTGTCATGTGAGTGGTTACTTAAAAGGCTGCACTTAATGATAGATCCGAGTGGTGTAATATTGTTCAAGATATATAACTATATCATTTATGTATCGAGGGTTGGACTCTCTGGGTTTTAAATGAAGGGATCTTTCAGTGAATGCCCACCACAGTGAGTACCACTAATGCCAGGCTGCACCAAACCCAGAGTCTAGTAAAATAGAATCAAATAGATATCTGCTCTTCTATTTCTTTGTGTCAAGCCGTCCATTCTGATGTCAGTCACACGGTTCTAATTTTTAAAGCTAGTTGGAGAAGAAAAAAAAAGCCCCACAACACAGAGGTTCTCCACAATGTATCCAATATATAAAATACTCTCAAGCATGTTTTTTTTAGTGTTACAAGATAATTTTCTGATATGTTTCGACATATGTCTGAAATAGGAGGCAAGTGACTCAAAATGCACTTTTACCAGTTAAACAAGGACTGCCACATGAATGCATATTGTATTAAAACAAAATCTTATCCAAGATTTAATATTTTAAGTGTTGAGCCTGCTCATATATAATATCCTGTAGTTCAACCTCACACCTCACACTCCAATTAATCTGAATCCAACCTACAATCGAAACCTAAAATCCATCGAAAAGCAAAACAAATCTACCACCAACTTTTGTTGAGATCCTACAAAGACTATAGATTAATCTTTACAACACATTATTGGGGCTTGTCCAAAATTCATTCCTATTTACAATATAGTGCACTATTACATTCACTGAGTGTGTAAATGTCCTCAAAAGGTCCACAGAAGTAGAGACAGTGGCATATAGACTACTTTTTGCTCACAGTCCTACAATGCAATGCTCTTCATCTTACAGCTGCTATTTACTTCTCACTAATAAGTACTATTTATCATCTAGATCATTAGAAAACACAATCTCCAATCTCTTGGACTTTTGAATATCAAAATGACAGTTCAACTGTTTTATTTTTAAATATTCAAATACTACAAAATGGTGCTTTTCATCTTTGCTAAGTGTTAATGGGAGCACCATGCATTCACTCCCTGCTTTCAGAAGAGTTCAGTCTGATTAAACAATTCAGCTTAATGGATTTGACCTGTAAAATAATTCAAGCGAGGAAAGGACTGACCTCGCTTTGAGAAAGGATAAAGTTTAATTTTGTAGTTTGAAAGAAGAAATGTTATCAAGCCGCAGCTGGTAAAATCTGCCAGGACAGTCACTTCAGCAGGCAGTTTCTTACTATAAATGAGACGTCTGCAGCCTGCTCTCCCTCGCTTGTATACATACATTATTAGATCTAAGCTTCTCTCTCCCTTTCTCTCTCTGCCCCACCTCAGTGCAAACCTTTGCACTTCTGTGTGATGTTTACTCCATATCGATGCTTGCTCCAAGACTGATTAGTAACCCAGTCAACATTTATTGTTAAATAAGATTAAGCTGTGTCCTCAACCTCTTCCCGTGTCTGTTTTTCCAAAGTCCACTTCTCTTGCCTCTTTTTTTTCAATTTATTTTGTCTCCCCATACCCCTTGTAGGTGCCAAGTCCCAGAGTTCTTTACTTTTCAAAGGCTCTCTCTCTCTCGCTCTGCACGCAGCTCTCTCTGTCCCACCTCTGGCTCTCATCCTGTCCTCTAGCCCCAAACCTGGCAACCCTCTGTCTTCAGCTCTAGCCCTTGTTACCACTCCCATCCCATGTCTTATGTGTAGCTCTCGCCGTCCGCCCTTTGCATCCTCGCTCTCTCTCCCCAGCTGCGACCCTAATGATAATTGAGAGGTGAGTAAGAGAGACAAAGACTAAGGGTGGTTTTTGAATGCCTGATCCCTGGCATGAAATGCGGTCCGGGGCTCGGTGGGCAATCAGGCGAGGGGAAGGCGGGGGCGGCGGTGGATTGACAGCCACGCCATTCATTGGTCGGATTTGTTGATCCCGTTCACTGGCTCCTGCAACGGCCCCTCTTGTGTGAGGATGTGGGCATGCCTGCTCTTTGGCAATGATTAAAGTTTGGAACAACTTCCACAACCTAACTCAAGACCCAGCTGCTGGGAGGGGGATGAGAGAGAGAGAGTGAGAGAGAGAGAGAGAGAGAGACGTATTATCTGTTTGCCTTTAAGCTAATCAAGGGATTGTTTATATTTGAAGATAACAGAGTTATACAGGAGGACTTTGTAGAATTTGATTAAACGTTGATGTTTCCTCTAGAAATACGTTAAACAATATACTCACTTGAGCACACTTTTTTTTATTTTTATGACCTGATTTTCATGTCAACTCCATAATGCAGTGATTCTTTTTTTGACTATTCGACAAAGAATGAAACAGAAAATTGATGCCACTATGGGAAAACATAAAAGCTTGTTGGTGAGCTGTCGGCCAGGGTATATAAAAGCGCTGCCAAGTCTCTCCGTCTAACCCCCAGGAAGCTTGCTGCTGATTGTGAGGGGGAAAAAAGAGAAAGAAAGACAAAGAGAGGAGAAAAAAAAGGGGGTCCCTGCTAATGTAAGCTCTCGGCACAAATGAAGGAAACTACCGACCTCACTCTTTCTTATAGTGGAGGTCCGGACCATTCACATGTAGCCCCCCCCCCCTTTGCCCACCTCTCCTCAGCTCTTCCTCTCTCCCTCTGTGTGTTCTGTGGAGACTATTTATTTGTGGAGGACAGTGCTGTGGGCTCCAGATGCTTGACCCAGCAAGTCAGGTTGCCTGGTCACATGGATCTACAACTGTTTGCCTGAACTTGTTGTGCATCCAAACAAACCTTAAAGGGCTGCCGCAGCTTTTTCACTCTTGAGTCGATTGTGTATTCTCGGTCAGACTTTTTCACATGGGTGGGGAAATGCCTCCCCACTATATCTGGTGGAGAATAAAGAGGGAATTTCACGTTGTATTCTGTCCACCAATGTTCGAGCGCAGCTTATTTATAGGAAATTTGATTGCTTTTCCCAATTGAGGCTTCAGTGTGTATGTATAGTGTATGTGTCAGTGTGTATGCATGGGTTCGTGTATTCGTGTGGGTATGAAGTTGAAAGAGAAGAGATAGCGAGAGGCAAGTACAGTAAATCTTGCTCCCTGTAACTAGGCCTCAAATTGTAGGAGGGGAGTGGAGCTGCAGTAAGAGTGTAATACACAGTTAAACACACACCCACACAGAAAACACAGACCACATTTGAGGCACTGAGCAAAATAATTGCTACCTGTTAAAGTGCAAGCAAGTGTGCAGTATCAGGCACCACTACTTCACTACATATCACACATTTCAAAGTCATTATCAGAGCTGAGGGGTGGAGAAAAGAGGCCAAAAACTGTGTTGTGTTAAACTGTCGTTACTCGAATGCCTTATCCTTATCTCTGCTTTTCCACTGATTAAAATATTAGCTCACAGTTTGGACAGGACAGAGGGATTTCTTTCTGGGAAGTAATTCTCTTTAATATGGAAAGTTTGTGGCCAGCAACCTTCTTTCACCTTTAGTATTCAGCTCATGGTTGTGAGTGTGAACAGTGTGTTACGTAGAACAGAAGTCAAGGGAAAGAAAAAGTAAAACAAAACATGGGATGTCAATGACAGTTTTAGCAGATTAAATCAAATATTGACAGTGAGATGTATTTAGTCCTCAGCGTTAGCACTGTAGGAGTTTTCTTCTGACAGCAGTGAGTGCAGCTGGCTCCAGGTTCACTGCAGAGATAAAGTTGATTTGCTGCACTGAAGAAACCTGTTAGTCTGGAGTCCATCCATGTTGGTAAAGTTAGGAGAGTGTTCCTTCCTCCTTCCTAGACTCAACAGCAAAGAGAGAGAGTATGTTTGAGCATGTGCTTATACAAAACAGTCTTATCAAACCCTCCAGCAATCTGAGAAGTAAGAGAGGGAGGGGGGGTGTGTGTGTGTGTGTGTGTGTGTGTGTGTGTGTGTGTGTGTGTGAGGTCAGTATTAATAGCTTCTGCTGGTCCTGCAGTGTTTGACACAGAGCCCCATTTACAATAGTTCTTTTGTTTGTCTCCCCTCTTTTCTCCCTCATCTCATTCTCTCTCTCTCTCTCTCTCTCTCTCTCTCTCTCTCTCTCTCTCTCTCTTTCTCTTTATTTATCTCTCCATTGCTCGTCTTTTTTCTCTATCCATTTCCACCTCGAAAATCTCATCTGCCACGTCTTGTTTTCTTTTGAGCTAATTCCTCAAATTTTGGTTTTGATAATTCTGGATCCTGTGCCATGTTGGTAAAATACTAATATTTGTTTCAGCTCCAAATATTTTATTAAATGTTAGTAAGTTTTAGTAGTAAAGAGCAATATATAAAACATTGAGATAGCCATTAAGCTGAATTGCAACACTTTTTGTTTGTTGAATTTTAGTTTTTTTAGTTGTTTCTTACTTAAGATTGTTGGGAGCTAAACCAAAATAGATTTAAAAAGTATAAAGCTTTAGTCTTGTTAATGTATTCAGAGTCAGTATAGTGCCATCAGATCCAAACCCTAAAATAAAAGTTCAGGATAAATTATAAATGACCTTTCTCTGTCTCTGATCCCCAGGAAACCTAATGGAGACTACCGCAGCTCTCCCATCTCCAAGGACCGCAGCCGGAGCCCCATCGAGCGCGTGGTGGTGCCCAGTGCTCTTGGAGTCCACAGCAGCCACCCGTACAGCCATGCCCACCACCACCACCACCTGGCCAGCTTAGCCGGCATGGACCAGCCACTGGCACTCACCAAAAACAGCATGGTGGAGTCTGCACGCAGCAGCACAGCAGCTATTGCCACAGTGCCGCACACAGTCAGCGCCGTGGAGCGCCAACAGGTAACCTGCACATCCTGTTTCTTTGCTTCTAGCACTGACTACATCTTTTGCAAATTGTTGGGTAAAACCTCAACTCTGGTAGGTCCCCCACATGATGTGACTAATGTGCTTTCATTAGCCAGGCTCCATGCATGTTGGAGTAGAAATTTCCTATTTGGCTTGTTGGCCAAAAATCTTTTGAAACCCTGGTGGTCACTGAATCATTCTCTCTCCCTCAGGCTTCAAACCTCCCTCTGGTCCGCCTTCTTTACTTGAATATTTTCCACTTTTTCTGCATTTCACATTCTGTTCTCTTTTTATTTACTCCCCTTAAACCCACTGTTGACACAACTGTTTGTTTTGTTTTTGGTGATCCCTAAATGTTGAATTTGCGTTTCAGAATCGTCCTTCAGTGATCACATGTGCCCCAGCCAACAACCGCAACTGCAACCTGTCTCACTGTCCCGTCTCCCACAACGGCTGCTCCAGCCTCACTAACAACTACAGGAGAATCAACAGTGAGTGCAGTCATGCAAGTGCATCCAGATGAACACACATACACACATACAGACAGACAGTCAGACAGACAGTGATCCAAGTTCTCAATATTCTCGTATATTTAGTTTTTTCAGTACTTTCGGTTTATGGTAGAAGGAGTGATGGGTTAACATATCTCGGTAATTCATTAATACTGATTGTTAAGTCCCCAATATTGGGAACATTTGTCCCTAAAACTGGATATAACAAAAACAAACAAATTTCCCATACAGCACAGTTTGTGGGAAACCTCTCTGCGAGTGCAAATCACCCTCCAGAGAAAACACAGACTGCTCATACTCTCCACATTCAGACTGACTTATATAACCAGTGATGCTAAAAAAAAAAAAAATCGTCCCAGTTTTCTGTCGGTGAGTCTCACAGTCTCTGTGATTGTTGTGATGAGGCCTCAACATGTGTTATTTACTACCGTGCCTGTTATCTTTTTTTACTGAAGATGTCACTAGAGGCCTCAGCCAAACACGTGTCTGTTTTATTCATCCTGTCTGTGAGTGTCAGTCATGTTTTCTGCGGGTTGATAACTTAACTGTGGCCATTTTTATGATCCCAGTGAAATCCCGATGATCTCATTGAGGTTAACAGTGAAATTTTAAACAGTGATTTAATATTAAAAAACTGCAATGAAAAAGTGAAGTAGATGTCAGTTAGTATTTTTCCATTGACCTAAGATGCATATTACCACTGTTTAAACTGATGCTAGGCAATAAATTGCCCACTGAACTTTATACAAGTGAGTTTTAGAGATGTTTCTCTTTTCATTGTGGGAACTAAAAACTCTCTTTCTCTTGCCGTCTCCTCCCCTCCCCGTTCCAGCCAACACAGCCTGTGACCCGGTGATCGAGGAGCACTTCCGCCGCAGTCTCGGGAAGAACTACAAGGAGCCCGAGCCCACCGCCACCAACTCGGTGTCCATCACGGGCTCGGTGGACGACCACTTCGCCAAGGCACTAGGCGAGACCTGGCTGCAGATTAAAAACAAGGGGAGTCCGTCGTCGTCCGGCAGCAGCCCAAACTCCTCCCCCGACAGTCACATGGTCAATCACAACCACTCCCCTTCTGTGGTCTCCTGAAGGAGGAGGGGTCTAAGAGGGATTTGCCCCTTCTCCCCAGCCTTCCCAACCAATCCCGGCTCCAACACCCATGCCCCCGTCACTTTGGTCTGTCACCAGCATCCCTGAGGGAATGCCTGCCTGCTGGTCTGCTAAAAACATCCAAAAACCCTCATGCCTGCTCTTTCTTTCTATGCACTCATAGAGGATCAACCAAGCAATAACAACACAGCTGTTTTTATTGTCCTTCTGTCCTCTGGTATGCTAATGCCAGACAAAAATCAGTAATGAGGGTTCGACTTTGGGACTTGACTGGAGCATCGAGCTGCTCCTTCCAATCATTCATCATCCCTGCATGCCTTGGAGCTGAGCAAGTGTCTGTAGTTATATGTACATAACGAGAGAGAGGAAAGGCGGTGTTTTAATTATTAACTTTCTTCTTTGTTTTTATTTTGTTTGTTTCTTTAACAGTAGTTTTGTGTACTGCTTTCGCATTTTGAGATGCCCGACATTTGAAAGAAACGATAAGTGAGAAACACTTTGGAGAAAATAATCACAAACCACCTGACTGTGCTACCAAAGAAACCTCAGACACTGATGTTTATCGATGCCCACCTCGAATAACAAAACAAAAAGCCATCTTGTAATCTCCTCCCTCTGTTATATCTGTGTGCATTCTCTCACCTTCCTTCTCTCCCCCCTCTCTTCTGTTTATGTGTTTTGGCGGTTTTGTTACTGTATGTGTATATTTGGGTGATTGACTTGGTCTGATTTGCACTACTGCCTTAGAGGGTAAAGGGTGACATGTCAATATTGTAATCTGGCACTGCACACACTGGGACTGATAAAGCTGATTTTGACGCAACATAGTATAATCCAGCTTTTGTTGGAATCTCTATTTGATCTCCCATTAACGTTTTTTTTTTTTTTTAAATCTACCTGGGAATCATTTCAACCTGGCCCTGACAGAACAAGCCACATTATTATTATGTATTATTTATTGAGTGCATTTAAATTTTTTTTTAAATACATACGAGTAGGGTTGGGCAGTATAAACATTGAAATATACAAAGTAATATGGATTTGGATACCATGTGTTCATGTTGATTAGTGCAAATGCATGTTGCATGGTAAGAGAAGGTGGGTGAAAAAAAAGAAGGTAGCTTGCTATTGTTATTGTCACCTCTGGCAACCACTGTCAGGTCTGACTATCTCGAACCAAGCTGTATTTAAACTATTGATGAAGCACCTTTTTAGGTGAGGTTAAACAGGAGTGGAAATGATGTGGATGTAGTGGCCAGAATGAATTCCACTCACCTTTTTATTCTAAAGGGGAAAATGTGTACAACATCGTACTTATCTTCAGTATTCAGTATATATTGCCATAGTAAACACATCATACTGCCCAGCCCTACATACCAGCTGTACATGCGTGTTGTGAGCAACTACACGTACATCCAATTTGTTAATTAAGTGGCGTTGATTGATAAATATATTTCCGCCCCCAAAAAAACATACAAAACTACTTCACACACTTAAATGGTGCCAAGTTGTTGCATTTCTTTTTGCAAGCACAGTCAAGTCTTCAAATCAGCTAGCTTGTGGTGTCGATGGACATCACAGACACCACGAGAGGAGGTTAGGACTGGAAACGACAGTTGTATAACCTGCAGTGTGTCGAACGTTGCGCTCTGCTGAACAATGTGCTTTTGATGTGTTTCACCGGCTTAACTGCTGACAGTGATGAGGGGATAGATGACGCTGCATGTCACTTTGTGGTTGCAAAAAAGAAAAAGAAAAAAAGAAGTCTGGTTTCTAGACCGGGGGAGAGAAGATTATTCAGATCTCTTCAAACACACCTTTGTTTTTGTTACTCTTTGAACACAGGTGTTGTAATTATATTTGGCTTACACCCTGCTATCCCTCCCTCTCATACACACTGTGGTTTGATAGATTTCTACAAGGTTTGAAGGGTAAACTAATGCTTTTACAGATGCATGTTTTTTTTTTTTTTTAATAGCTGGTATCTATTAATGTTTTTAAGCATTTCAATCTTAACTACTATTAGCCTTTTTCATTTGGACGTTAGTTGTTACTTCTTTCATTGTCAGTAACAGACATAGACACTATACACTCACTGCTGGGTCAGTTGTACTCCATATTATTATTGTTATTGTTATTATTACAATTTTGTATTTTTGTTTTCCATTAATATCAGTATGGTAACAAACATCTATAGTGGGACAGCCTCCGGACAGGCTCTGTTTAACGATGAGAGCTGCGTTTCTCAAAACCATCTCAGCGCGGTAATCCGTCAGCTCATTCCTGCAGCAGAGCTGTGCGGGTGCTAGTGTCGAGTTGGCTTTGGGATACGCAGCCAGTAAAGGTTTTCTTAAGATGTTGATCCATCGGTGGTACAGGATGCTACAACCTTCAGCGTGAACGAGCTGAGACACCAAATTGGCACAAATTAGTCAGCAGGGCCTTGTTTTCCTGAAAAGCACATCAGCCTGAGATAAAATTTTAATTTAGTTTTAAATGTTGTCTGTTTGGCGGTCGTCTTTAAATCATCACCTGCCTTTACCCACATTCTTGCTGCAGTCCGAAAAGTACTTTGTACAGTACAGGCTAGAACGCTATGATGCTTTTGGGAAACAAGGTACCGGTAATGATGAGAGCCTGTGATGACAGTTCTCAGACATCTTGTTGACGTGTAAGAGCTGTGTAACCCCGGCAGAGAGATGGTGGCAGACAAAACAAAACACTTGGCTGAAAATTGGGGGTTATCTGAATTTATCGTGCGATACCACAGCTCTTTCGACTGCCATCAGTTGACCTTTTGTGTCCTGACTTGGTGTCCAGACTTTTGTTTTGTTGTATGTCAATGCTTTCTTTTCTGAACAACATTGTATTGTTGCTGCAGTTAAGCTAGACTGCTACAGACTGAGAAAATGAGTTTTACTCTGTAAAAGCGCCTGCGCCAACATGGCATACATTCCTCCTATAGGGAACTTTGTTCAGGCCTCATACATACTCTCAGTATCTCCATATCAACAGACTGAGCTAATAACCAGCCAACTGTCCCAGGGTTTCTTGTGTCTTTACCGGAATTACAAGGTTTCCACTTTTGCTTTTTGTTTTGTCTTTGCATTAAGCAAATTGGCCATAAATCCACACTGTGTGATAAATGAACAAACAAGCATATATGCCGTAACATTTTTGAGGACATTCAGAGCATAGAATGTAGAGTAACTGGGGTTGTAACAGTGAAAACGTGGCAAAAGTACAGAATCATTTCATGTCTCTGAGCTGAGGTTGACAGGTGCTGAGGTTCATATTTGTTTGGTTTAGGTCATTTTTTATAGTATAATGAGTACGGTTACAGAAGTATCTAAATAGAACGCTTTCTCAGTGTTCTAGAATGTCCACACATTCCATCCTCAACTATCAGAACAAATGTGACCGAACAAGAACTGATGATAAAAGTTCTAGAATCTTCAGATACACAAAAAATTGAATCACAGCGCAACTGCTAGTGAATCAGTTTCCATTACAATTGAGTACTCTACGATCTAAACGTGCTTTCTGTGACCAGTTCAGAGTGGTTTGGATGATGATTTAGCAGGCAGGTTTTTGGGGGTGGGGGCAGAGCTTCAGGAGCTGAGCTTCTGTAACACGACCTGTGGAGAGGCCAGGAGACGTTCAGCTGCCACTGAAAGTCTTTTGAAGGTCTCACAGCGATGCCTCCCCCTCCTTTCAGATTTAGTTGACCCTGATTTAAGATTGGATGTAGAACATGCTAGAAAACACGAGGGAAAAGGGCTCAGTGTCCAGAGGATTTTGTTTTTCTATTATTATGCTTTCTCATTATCATTTCACTACCACCCTGTAGGTAGGAGGCTCTCTTTCTGCTTCGGCACACACTCCCTACACACTGTAGGAAAATCACTTAATAAAAAAATACTTTTTTATAATAGGTAACTATAAGACCATCATTACGCTGTGCGTAACGAATGTACAGAGAAAAAAATCGTAGGTATTTTTTGAGGAACAATTAATTTGTTAATGATATGTAGCTATTTAATTGTTGGTTTTCCCTGTCCTTATATTGTAATCATTGCATTTTCTTTTTTGTGAAAAAAGTTGATCTTTTTTGTTTATAGAGTTTGTCTTGTTAGAGTAAAGGTTCAAGTGCAGGAACACAGTAAATGTATGAAACCACAATAAGCCACTGGTGTGTCGGTGACAATCGCTACTTCCATTGGTCCCCAATGTTCTGCAATCATTCAACATGTGACTCCTGAGACATCTGAACAAAAGCTTCACTTGTGAGCAAAAAGAGGTTGTCCTGTTCAGAGGCCTCCTTCAGCAATTTGCATGTTTTGCATTGATGAAACATAATTTTTGCCACTGTGAGTCTTGCCAGCCATTTCCAAATCTTTTCCATTTAACTATTAAAAATAAAATAACATTAGTAAAGCATTGTAAATTGTGGGTTTTAAAGGACTTTAGATGACTTGGTCTACAGATGGGAACTGAGCTTCAAGTAAAACCATGAGTCTATTTGAGAGCATTTGTCTGATTGGTTTAACTTCACTAAAATCAAAATACTCAAGCTGAACTGATAAAAGCATGACAGCATTTTTGTACATATTCTGTGCTCAATTCCACCTGCTCTGTTGCCAGCCAGTGAGGCTGACATGATTTAAGTAGCAAATGAGCTTTGGGGAAGTCACCCTGTCTCATGTTGCTGTTCCCATCTGTGGAGGCCATTTTGCCTCTGTAAACATTAAAATTGTGCAGATAAATCAAAGAGGAGTCGCTTTTTACCACATTTTCCAGGTCCCTTTTTGAAGCGGAAGTAGCATGTACTTAGTGGTAGTAATACTCTGAACTAAAAAAAAAAAAAAAAAAAAAAAAAAAATTTGTATCAAGAAAACAGTCGATTTGTGGCTCTGTGTCTCCTACTAAAAAGGTTTTGGCAGGCCACCTTTTTTGTACGTAAGTAGCCTTGATGAACAATAAAATGCTTTTAAACCACTGTCTGACTGTGTGGGCCTCTCTTTGTAACTGTTTTGGTGTGTTTGTGGTTGTGTAATGGTTGAGACAGATGCTAAAAAAAATAGAAAAGGGGGGGGTGGGGGGCAGATGAGTTGGAAAGATCCAGCTACATGAACCACTGTTTATACAGCAATAAAAAAACACTCAGATCTTAACAGAAATAATCAAGAGACATTTTATTACAGTTTTTGGTTAAATACTTACAGAAGAGAAACAGATCATAAAAAATAGCTCGGAGAATAGTCAGAATTATGAAAACCAAGTCTCAGAATTTGGAGTTAAATCTGAATTTTGGGAATAAAATCCAAAGGAATTCTGGAGTTTATTTTGCAATTGGAAAAAAACTTTAATCTCAAATTCTGAAATTAATCTCAGATCTCTTTTTCACATTGCACTCGTTCTCTCCAATAAATATCCCAAGTGGATGTTGAAATTTACATTACACTGAAAATATTGTACATGTTAGCAGTTCAGAAAAATAGGCAGAGTAAGAAAAGCAACATAAATTGCACAGACAAACGCGAGCATGCATCAACACAAACAAATCATTAAGACCTTCAGTTTCTCCATAAGCTCTTTAGGTTAAACTGTGCCGTTGTAGGTTCCACGTTGTCCTACAGTAACAATAAATCGTTTATATATCAGGAGCCACAGTTCAGTCGCTGTATAGTAACATCTGTGTGCAGGTTTCCTACAAAACAACCAAGCTGGTTTTAGTATTAACTGTACTGCATGTATCGCAGTCTCCAGCGAGCACACAGAGAGATGGATGGATTCGCTGAGTTGTCGAATGTGTTTTTGTATTTTCATAATTTATCTGAAGCTCTTTTCCAAACTGAATGAGTGAGCAGATGTAGTATGTCAGTGTTTGGCCAAAGGACTCTCCAACAAGCCCATTAAATGTGTTGATGGAGAGACTGTGGGAGGGATTGAACCTGTGAACATTCAGTGAGTTCTTTTAAGATTTTTGACAAAAAACAAAAGTCCCTAATATAATTACAGGGTGACGTGTTTTCGCTCAGAGAATTGAATTGACTGACTGACTGACTGACTGAGAGTAAACTGATTACACATCATCAAGTGTTAGCTGCAGGTACATTCTCCCTTAAAAAACAACAGCTTCATACACACAATGTGGAAAATTAACTTGTTCAAAGCTCTGATCCTGTTTCTAATGTAACAGTGGAAAAACAGACTCACTATTCACTGAATATTTTAGCAGTAAAAGCATTTGCCATTTATTATTTTTTCCCATATTACAGTTCTATTCTGAAGGTCCAATGCTTTGGGTGATTTTGAACCCGAATGTACACTAATAGGAATTGTAAGGCTTTTCAGCTACTTTTCTGAAGAAGTTTTTGTAATGTTCTTTTTTGTGGAAAAGCCTTTGTTCCCTTGTCCTTTGTAAATATGAGATTCCTTAAAAAAAAACAGAAACAAACATGGGTTAGAGTGTCCAGTCCTTCGGAGGCTCTGAGTTTGTTTCTCCAGTCCTTCAGATGCTCTCATCATCGCTCATATCCCAAATCTAATAAGAAAAAGACACAAATGAAAAAGATATTAAAGACTGAAATAAACATTACAACATAGAAGTTATTACTAAAAATGTCTATATATATTACATAAAAAGATAGCAAGTGGACCTTAAAGGTGCCCTGTGGAGTTTTCTAAATATATGTTTACATTCAGTGTTTCTCACCACAACACACTGTGTGTATCCTTGAGGTCTATGTTACTACGCTGAGTGCATTTCCTTCCTCATAAACATCTGCAAAGCACATTTTCTAAATACTTTAAAACACAACTCCCTTGCTTCACCCTCCCCTTCCAGTGCGAAGGAGAAATTACAGGGACCATGAAACGCCGCTATCTAGAGACAGTGTTTGGGTTCAACATGGTGGTCTCCCTCTGTAGATAAAAACAGCTCATTCTAAGGTAACGACAATAACAATTCTTATTTTCAGGTGATTATACAGTAATTCAATTATATTTCTCCTGAATGTTACACATTCTTTGCCACCAACTGTCAATCAGTAGATAAGTGCAAAACTAGCTGCAGACATGAGCATCGCGTTATGTGCGTCTTCATGTGCAATCTAAACAAAATGGGGACCCTGATTCATATAGTGCTAAAAGTCTGCAGGTACCTTCAAGATTATTTTTGTCAAACAAATACTTCTTTTTCTTTTCTTTTTTTAAGTTTTTTTTTTGGGCCTTTTCATGCCTTTATTAGATAGGACAGCCGAAGATAGACAGGAAAGGTGGGTAGAAAGAGAGGGGATAGCACGCAGCAGGGGGCCACAGGTCGGACTCGAACCCGGGCCGCTGCAGCAACTCCATATATGGGTCGCCAGCTCTACCGACTGAGCTAACCATGCGCCCGTCAAATTAATATTTCAAGTTCAAGAATGAGTCATGAGTCGTGTCCATGTAGTGTCCATATATGTTGTGTAGTCGTATCTTTGGCAGTGTTGGGCTAGTTACTCAAAAGGATATCATTTATTACTCATTACTCTTTTCAAAAGTAATATTATTACTTTACTTATTACTCCAATGCCAACAGTAATTAGTTACACTACTAGTTATATTACTTTTCTGCTCCTCCCCACAAAATTGGTAATTGTGCCCCTTCTCTTCAGCTTTGTTTGTTACAATCAAAGTAATGGGAATATTTCCAGTTGCTGAATGTAAAGGTTTCTATCTTCCAAGCTAGTTTCCTCCACTAATCCAAGGATGTGATAACATTGTTGGATTCCAAATTAGTAGGGTATGCCAACAAAAATAATGTTGTAACTAAAATGTATTATTTACACTACTAGTTACTAAGGAAATTAATATTATTACTGTAATAATATTAATAGTAATGACTTACTGCCCAACACTGGTCTATAGTATGTACAGTACATGGAGTCCAGGCCTCAGCAGTAGCAATATGTATCAGCAGTAGACAATTGATCAATAGCAATATGAAAATTGTTCAATAGAATATTGATAGTTTCACGCAAACCACCATTAAGCACATAACAAATGTGCCCTGGCTCATGAACAGCCTATCATATCCCTTGATAATGGAGCGTACTATGAGCCATAGCTGCTTCCACCCTCTGGAGTACGCAACATATCGTCAGTCTCAACCTACATCTGTTACATCTCAAGAAACACTACACAGGCAATCCACAATGGAGAGGAACTCAGCAACAATCCTGTGGGCCTTGATAAATAAAGTGGGTAAATTCAAAGTAAGGTGGTTAAATGCAACCTTTTCTCCACCTGGTCTTTTCGAAAAATAGATAATTAAATATCAATATTGACTGAAATGAAACATTTTGTCATGATAAATCTTTCATCGCCCGGTCCTAATAGAGTAATAAGGTATCATTAACATATCAATAAAAGCTCTGTTGAGCAGTTGTTTTGACATAATTTACCGGACTACCTAGACAAACCCCAGAACATCGTAATACAGGCAAACACAGAGCAATAAAGTCTCTGATTGTGGTTAGCCACTGATTCAGGTGGAAGTGTGTGAACCGTAGAGGCTGCACTGATTTCTACTGATAGCCCTGAATGTTTGATTCAATTTTAAACAGGAGGAGACGGATAAACAGGATAAACAGACAGATTTCCGTCTACACGAGTGACTCGTAAGTCACAATAAAATTCACTTTAGAGAACATACAGGCAACCTGCAGCTCTCCTTTCTTGGCTACATGCACCAATAACTTTAAAAATAATTACTCACAATCACAGCTAAAAGCTTTCTTACCAGGAAGTGACAGCAGCATGTGACTCCCTCCCTCCCCCCCACACACACACACACACACACACACACACACACACACACACACACACACACACACACACACACACACACACACACACACACACACACACACACACACACACACACACACACACAGAGGAACCTCCTTTTCACTACTGTGTGTCAGTAAACAACAGTGGCCTTCTCGTGGCAGCAGATTCTTCACATTCTCTCTCTGTAAGACGTAATTCACATACCTCTAACACTGTCTGGAATGTCACACACACACACACACACACACACACACACACACACACACACACACACACACACACACACACACACACACACACACACACACACACACACACACACACACACACACACACAGTTTTGACACATACACGCTGCATTCCTTTGAATGTGCTGCTCCACAACTAAAAGGGCTAAAATGTGAATTCCAGTGTAACAACTGAAACACTGAAAGCTGAAAGAAATGCTGAGATCTTTTTCTTTTTGTTCAGTGCGGGGGAATTTGCAACACAGATGTATATTTGTACATTTGTATTACATTTGTACACACGCAGACTCTGTGTAATATTAAGAGCCTTAAGAAAACCCATTCCCAAAAATCAACTGAGATACAGTGACTCACTTCTTTTTTACATCTGAAATCATTAGGCAAAAGTAACAATCCATCTAAATAAACAACCAGGGCTGCAACTGACAGTTATTTTCATTATTGATTAATATCATTTACTCGATTAATTGAGTAATCAACAGCTCATCACAGTTTTCGAGAGCCCAGGGTGACGACGTCAAATATCTTGTTTTATCTGATCAGCACAAAACCAAAAGATGTTCAATTAACAGTGATATAAACAGAGAAAAACTTGTTTCTGCTGAAAATGTGAAATTCGTCCACAGGCGAGGACACAATTCAGTGGAATAGTATAGAAAAGAAAGTTTCAGATAATAAATTAATAATATATAATTTAAAAAATAAAATAAAATCGACACATTCTTTCAATGAAATTCTCTGAAATTAGTACCAAATTACACATTTTGTCTTGGAACTTCCTAAGAAATGATAAGTAACCAACAGACCTGTAAAATAAAATATTAGCCTGTATTTCCCTTTCGAAACACTGACACGTTTTGCCGACATTTTGTGCTTCTGTGTCATTTCAAGAGAGGTTGGACTACAGCGAAAAGAT